GAAATTAGTATGAGAAAATATGCTAAAGTAGTCAAAATAAATGAACACGTTCAATTCAATAAAAAAAGAAATCTTTTTCTCCAATTCATTTTTTTTTCTTACGATACGATACTCAAATCTAGATTCTTGTAATTATGATTCAAGTGAAGAAAAAGTAAATCTATTTATTTCGGGCTTTAAAACCAATAGTTCTGAGATTGACAATAAGTTCTTTCAAAATTGACTATTTACCCCTCTGTTAGAGGTGTTCTAGAAATGTCTGCCATCAAGTAAATAGCTCAACGAATTGTCTTTAAGTTCCATGTAATTAAATAAAACAAAAAAGAAATCTTATTGCTTACACCATCCATGCTATATGTGAAAGTTTTCTTTATTGGGCACAAAATTCAGAATTAATGAAAACCTTTGGCATAACTGTCAAATATATGCAGGTATCAAAACTATTCTTTAACTGAGTGATAGAGTTCACATATCTTTATATTTTTAATCTTCTTATAATAAATAAATTTTATATTATGTTGATGTCATTAAGCGTAAAAATAGAATATCAGTGGGTCGTTTGGTACGCAGACTAAATTATTCCAGGATTATAATCTTGGGATTATTATCCCTAGACAGATTTATCCCATCTGGGAGGTGGGACAATATAATCCCAAGTTTGATGGGATAAGTTGGGATATCCTGTATTAAGACTGGATTAAATTTATACCATGTTTGGTTAACGTTATAAATTTATACCATGTTTGGTCAAATGTATGAACTATTTTCAGAAATACAATTTTGAGCGGGTAAAGAGATTGTTAATGTGATGGCCCGACTAGTCGTCTTGTGTATTTGAGCCTCATTTTCCTATTTAATTTTTCGTGTGCTTGTTTATTATTTTGTGACTTGCCGGGATGGTTGGTTAGTTTCGAGAAGGCTTGTGAGTGAATATGAACACTTAGTTCTATTTTGGATAGCATAAGTTATTAGAGTTGATCAAGGTTTGACTTTTAAGTAGACGACCTAGGATTGGTACTTTGATGTTTTCAATAGGTTCGTATGATAATTTTGGACTTAGAAGTATGTTCGGATTTGAATTTGGAGGTCCCTAGAGGGTTTGACTCTATTTACCAAAAGTTAGCAATTTGAAGGTTTGGACAATTCCTAGGTCTGACCGGGCGTTGACTTTGATCTTATTGGGATCCGATTGGTATTTCAGAAGTTGACTTTAATTTTATCGGGATCCGATTGAAATTTCGGGACTTTGGTAACACTCGTTTAGTTGATTGCAATTTGTAAGTTTCGCTAGAATTTGGAATGTCTAGGCGTGATTCGAACATGTTTGATGAAGTTGGGAGCTTGGAAGTTAAGAGGTGAGATTTGATCGTCAATTCTTTGATGTTTGTTGTGGTATTTTGTGCTTATAGATAAGTCTAGCGGGAAAGGGAGGGAAATAAGGTAATAAAACTTGTTAGTATGGTTTATGGGGGCTCGTATGTGTTTCGAATTGATTCCGAACTATTTTAGTGATTATGGACAGTTCTGGTGCTGGTGTATCGCACCTATGATATTTTTTTTGTGCAGGTATGAGACCGCAAAAGCGAGGATTTGAGTCGCACATGCGAGGAAGAATTTGGGGTTAAGACCTGCAGATGCGGAGGTGTGATCGCATCTATGGTACTGTTGAAACAATGGGTTGGTCGCACCCGCGCCTTCTTAGAAGCGAGGGATGTGCGCAAATCGAAGGGACGACTGGTTAAGTGAAGCTCGCAGATGCGAGGTTTTTTTGCAGAAGCAACAGTGTTTGCCGCAAATGCCGAATCCCTAGCAAAATGGCATAATTCGAGGATTTTGTTCATTTTTCACTATTTTGAGTTTGAGTTGGCTAGAGGCAAATTTGGAAGGGGTTTTTACTAGTACTTTGAAGGTAAATAATTTCTGCTTGATTTTGATTATATATCTTATTTCTCCATGGATTATTACACTTATATTATGGAATGTGAAAGACAAATTTTAGGGGGTTTGCCTATAATTTAAGAGAGTATAATTGGGGATTTGGTCATTAATTTGGACTTGATTTTGAAATATAATCACATATTTAGACTCTTGAAACTATGGGTAGTCAGAATCTACCCCTTGACTTGAATTTTGACCATGTGAGTCTGCATTGACTTTCGGGGATATGATTAAAGATTAAAGTTTTATTATTTGGAATTGATTCCTATGTCTTTATTTGATACCGTGGTCTGTTATTTGATGAGATTTGAGTTGTTCGGAGGCCGATTTGCTAAGTTATTTTTAGAGTATTGATTCTTGCTCGTTTGAGGTTAAGTATCTTGACTAACCTTGTTGTGAGGGAATAACCCTTGGGATTTAACCATATTTGTCTAATTGAAATGTGTGGAAAGCGGCGTACAGGCGAGGAGTGAATATACAGGTGCTATATATGATTCATGACAGAATTAGACTATTTGCTTCTATTTATACCTTGTTTGAACTATGTGCTTTCTATGATTCATGTTTTAGGCATTTGTATGACTATGTGAACTTCTTGAATCATGCTAGGGATCATGTGTAGGTTTTGATTTTCTGTTTGTATGATACTTTTTATTGTACGGCGTACCCGCCTAATATGAGTTGTAGTCGTACACTTCGCACATGCATACACTTTTGCATGCTATTTTATCAATCCATGAGTATGTGATTTGATATCCGTTGTTCATATACATATATTCTTGTATATGATTTCTATGAAATGGACTGGAATGACAACACATAAGTGGTCCGTGCGGGGCGAGCTGTTATAGCACGTGAGTTGTCCGTACAATGTATGGATAAGGATTCATCCCCCTAGGTTCGTCCTCTCATATTTCTCTCTTGACGACGTACACGCGTATTATGGAAAACTGACCAGTATTTGATTTTGCATATCTTCTCCATATGCAAACACCTTGGATGTGTACGTGATTTTCGTCGTATATCTTCTCTATATGTTAGCTCTAGAATGAATACATGCCTCTATATGTATATCTTCTCTATATGTCGCTTTGATTGAAGAATTAATTCACAGTATATATCTTCTCAATACGCCAACCTGTATAACTTGTCTTGCTTATTCATGCATATATTCTCTAGATGCAACTGTCGATAATTTATTGATGTTTGACGCATATCTTCTCTATATGCCGAGCTGTTACGAAACCTGTGCATATCTTTTCTACATGCACTGATTGGCTATATATGTACTCATACTTAGATTTTGGTATTGTTGCTATGTACTTATATATTTATGAATTGAACAATTTGATAAGTGAGTATCATTGATGACTTTCATCACTATCTCGCCGAGGTTAGACTTGATACTTACTCAGTACATGGGATCGGTTGTACTCATACTACACTCTGCACTTAATTGTGTAGGTCCAGGAGTCGGACCTTGTTGAGAGTTGAGTTATTGATGTTGCGGTTGAGACCTGAGGTAGAGCTGCTTCCTGACCGCAGTCCTTACCCTCTCTTTCCATCTTTCATTACTATTGTTATTTCAGACAGTATGTTGTATTAGCAGACTTGTATTCATATATTAGAGCTCATGACTTAGTGTTACGCAGTTCTTGGGATTTGTTATACTGATTTGACATTTATCTATGATTGTTCGACTTACAAACTCATTTTTCTTCTGTATTATTATTATTATTATTCGCAATATTTTATGATTGACTTAACTAGCAAGTAGGGTTAGCCATCACTATGGTCGGTAATGATTTTGGATCGTGACAGCTAAAGGCCTGAATAAAACATGTAGTAAGTAATTTTCAATATGTATATGTAGTATTTCCTCTGTTCCAATTTATGTGATATAATATTTTTTAATTTGTCCCAAAAAAAAGGATATCTTTTGTTTTAACTTTCATAAGATAATCTATAGCTACGCAATGCTGACTGTTTTACATCACAAATTTTAAAAGTATTTTTTATTAAATACAACTATAATACAAACCCAGTGTAATTCCACGAGTGAGATCCAGAGAGGGTAGAGTGTACGCAAAGCTTACCCTTATCTTATAAAGATAGGGAGGGTTCCTATTTTTCTTTCTTAGATGGCCACATAAAATAGGACTGATGGTAGCAAGCAGAAAAGTTGTACTAAAATAGAAGGGGCCGTTTGGTAGGATGTATTAGGGGAAAATAATATATGTATTAGCTTTGGTATGATTAATCCCTTATTTGGTACTGTATTTTTCAACCTATGCATATGTTAGTTATACACCCTATTTGGTATCATCCTATGTATAACTAATACATAGCAAACCATGACATTTAGTAATACCATAGTTTTTAGTACATGGATAAGCATGTATACACCCTTGTGCAATGCATGCTATTTTTAATACACTAAACCAAGTGGATAAGAAATAATCCTAACATAACTTGTTCCAACATTACAAATAGTCTGTTTGGCCAAGCTTTTTTGAGGCAAAAGTACTTTTGTTTTTTGCCAAAAGTGCTTTTCTTCTAAAATTAAGGTATTTGGCCAAGCTATTGAAAAGAAAAAAAAGTGCTTTTGAGGAAAAACAGAAGCAGTTTTGGAGAAGCAGAAAAAAGTAGCTTCTCTCCAAAAGCACTTTTCTGAAAAGCACTTTTGAGAAAAATACACTTAGAAGCAGTTTTTTAAAACTTGGCCAAACACTAATTGATGCTTAGAAGTGCTTTTCAAATTAATTAGCCAAACACAAACTGCTTCTCACCAAAAGTACCTTTGAGAAAAACACTTTTGAAAAAAAAACACTTCTCAAAATAAGCTGATTTTTACAGCTTGGCCAAACAGGATATAATACACCTTATTTAGTACTATTCTTATATAACCTACCAAACGACCCTAAGTGAAAGCTAAAACAAGAAAGAAAAAAAGGAGAAGGTACCATTGACAAACAAACATGAGTAAATTTCTCTCTCATCTTTGTAATAAATGAATAGGCTAATTAGGGTGTATGTCTTTTGACTTGGACTGACATCTTCACACGCAACACTTTCAATAATAGAATCCAAACCCCCCACATTGAAGACAGTCTCCTCCCCTGCAGCCATCTTCCATTTTTCTTCTGAGCTTTTAATTTTGCATTAACTCTCCCTATCTCCATAGCTTAATTGTAGCAAACACTCGTCTCTATATAACTTCACTATTTTTCGCAGCTCCATTTGGGCGATGGGCGTATTACACTGCCGCCATCATCATTTCCAACACACACCCTCCTGCTTCTCTTTTGCTACCATAGCCACATTAACTTTCCTTTTGCTTACCTCTGTTGTTTCAGCTCTTCGTCTCAACCCCACACGACGACTCAGTGAGTTCACCTATTTCTCACTAATTTACGTTTTTTACATCAGGAATTTTTTTTTAATACATACTCACACCGTATTGAATTTCTATGCTATTGGTATATTTTAATTTATTGTCGTCGCTTGTAATAATATTCATTTTTGGTGAATAGTTATTTGTAATTTTCTTTTAAGCGACGTGACTGTAAAGAAGATTTACACTGTTAGTGCATAAACTCTTTGTAATGGATTTATCATCTTTCAAATTTTATTACTATATATTTTATGTTTATAGCAAGCTCGTCACTGATAGCTTGATTCTTTTTATTGAACCTAATTATATGTGAAAATATTTTTTGTTGATGAATAACGGTGATATTATAATGCACGAATTTTATATAATGTGCTGTTGAATTGTGTAATCTTCTCGTTTGAAAATTAAGCTTTTAAGAGGGGTATTATGTATACATATATATTTATTCTTGTTTAACCATTTGCAAAATATGGTGCAGAAAAACCCAAATCTGTATCTAATTAATACTCGCTAATCTGATTAATTTATATACACGTACTTAGTTATCCTTACTGCTACATAGGTGGTGAGCAGCAAGAGGTGATTGAGCGAGTTTTGATTCAGAGAAGACTGAGTGGACCGGGTTCATCTCCACCAACCTGCAGATCCAAGTGTGGAAGGTGTTCGCCATGTAAACCGGTTCGAGTCTCAATTCAACCGGGTTTTAGTTTCACTTTAGAGTACTACCCTGAAGCGTGGAGGTGCAAGTGTGGAAACAATCTATTCATGCCTTAAAAGTATATTACTCTTGTTTCTTTCTTTTTATTTGTATCTAATTTTGTCCTTCACGTCTAATTAATCACTTACTATTCTACTTTCTTCACTGCCTATAATATCGAAATGCACCACCAAAAAGCATGTACTAACTACTAAGTATCATAAACTTTGGCTATAGTCTAAATAAGAGCTTTTTATTTTTAATTTTAATTTTGTAAAGTTTTTTCCTCTGCTTATTATTCAAAGAAAAGATTCTCCAAAGAAAAGAAAAAGTCAAAAGAACCATTTTGTTGTGTAGTTGTACTGCTGATTCTTCTCTTTTTCATGCGAATGACAGAACCTTGGAAATGTAATTTTTTTTTGTTTTAGACTTCAGAGATTTGCTCTTCACTCTTTGCTCTCCCATAACACTTGTTATCTCAGCTCTCTCTTTATTTTTCGGAAAATATATTTGGACAAATTAAGAATGGCCCAAATGTTCAGAATGGGGGTATTATGGTAACTTCGCACGACTTTTGAGGGCATAATTGATATTTAAGCATTTTCGTTTCCAGATATACCCTTTAGCATATTTATTTTTTAATTTAATTTTTTCCCTCCAATTCTCTCTCATTAGTTTAATTGTCTTACCTTCCCCATGCTTCTTTTACATTTACACATGCATGTTACACTACTTTTCGTAATAAACTAAAATATACGCATAGTATACTAAAAAATACGATTAAACTACTGTATTTTAGTTTATTACTGTATCACTAAAATAATATTGTATTACTTTCTAACCCTAACACTTAAATATATAGTGCTTCAACTAAGAAGTCACTACAACAAATGTGATTTTCAACCACGAAAATATTAGCTACAATAGAAAATTTGTCACTAATTATCCATTTTTTGTGACTAAAATTATATTTCGTACTTAAATACACGAGGCACATACTTTTAGTGACAAAACATAAATTTTGTAGCAAAATTTTGTCTACTAAAGTTTCCCACAACAAAATGAATTGGTGCCAAATATTAATTAATATTAGCCACAAAATTAATATTATTGGTGATAAATTAGTTTCGTCACTAAATGTTGTAGACAATTGGTGACAAATAATTGTTCGTCTTAAAATTTGTTATATTTTCGCTACGAAATAGTTTCCTCACTAAAAATTTTATATTTTTTGCAACCTTAGTTTTTGTCACTAATAGCATAAACAAATTAGTGACGACCGGTGTATCATCTCTATTTTACCTATGAAATTATTAGGTAGCATAAAAAGTTCATCACTGTTATTATCTTTTTGGAACAAAAATTAGAGCCGTACTTAAATGCACACGCACATACATTTAGTGAAGAAACAAAAATTTCGTAGCGATAGTTTTATCTACTCAAGTTTTTCACCAAAAAAATGGATTGTCGGTAGTTATTTAGTAACATTAGTCACAATATCTAAAGTTACTGGTGACAAACTAGTTTCATCTCTAATATTGTAGGCAACTAGTGAAAATTATTATTTGTCTAAAATTAGTTATATTTTAGGCTTTAGCGGTGAAAAAGCTTGGTGACTAAGAGGGTGTTTGGCTAAGCTTATAAGCTGGTCCACTTCCATGTAGGACTTAAAGTCTCTTTGTAGAGTCCCTATGCAACCGTTTCACTTCCCAGTAGCCATATCCGCTTCTCCATGCGGACATTACACATCCTAGCAGCCCCTTCCACTCCTCCATGCATCTATTACACTTCCCAATAGTCCCTTCCACTCCTTCATGCAACCATTACACATCCCAGTAGTCAATTTCACTCCTCTATGCACCATTACACTCCTCTATGCAACCATTACTCTCCTCCATGACTACAATTAATTATAGAAGCTTGTCTTTATCCATCCGCCTATACAGATTTTGGATTTTTTTTAACTTCTGTCATATAGTGGCAGTGCACTTCACAGATTTGGGATTTTTTTAAAAATTTTTTTTACACTTCTGCCATATAGTGACAGTGCACTTCATAGGTTTTATCTCATAGTCTTAACCTTCATCTTGGTGGTTGAATTCTAATTAATAACGGATCGGTCTCCAAAATTTTGTAGTGGTAAATACAATTTTTTATTTTTCGTGTTGATTTTTCCACTTCTCTATGAGCAAAGTAATGTCGATTTTTAAACTTTAAAAAAAATCTTCCTAGTTTTGTTCTTGGTTGTAAAATGATAGAAAAGAATAGGGGGACTTCTGCACTAAATATATTGTTAATGATTTCTCAATTTTAATTAGCTATTTTTAAACCAATAATCTTCTTAAAATAAATAAATATAACAATAATAAATGGAAAAAACACAGACAATATTATAAGGAACAATCATATTAATTCATTGCTTTGATCCACTTGAAGTTAATAAATATAACTAAAGAGAAGAAATTATCAAGCTAAACATAAGTTTATCCTAGCACTTCAACAGAGAAGATCACAGCCCCTGATGTAGCCTGAACTAGTTCCAAGAGAAGAACACTCCCTTTTTTCAGATTATTGTCGACAATAAATTATTTCCACCATTAACGAGTCTTCTCCGAACACCACTTGTGGAAGTCACAGCCCATTCCTTCCCATTATATCGAAGCATTATTTTGACCGAAATAGGAGGAAGATAGCCAAAGATACTCTTTAGAAGAAACTGCAAGAACATAATGTAAAGATAAGGTTCATGGTTCATTGCTAGCTGGGATAATCAACAGTTATCAAATCATGAAAATATTTAAAAAAAAATTACCACATAATCACGCTTGATGTACGAACTGGGCACGTCCATCCGAAACCATGGATAGAATTCATCTTCAATCCATCCGCTAGCATTCATGTTTAGAAAATCTATTTTGTTTAAAGAGTTGGAAATGTTGTTCTTGTGCTTAAGAGATATATAAAGACTCAAAACTTTCTATTTCCCTTCAATCATATTTTTACTTTTCCCTTTGTTTCCCTCCGAAAATTGTATTTGACATTTTAGTCCAAAAATGTCATCTTGTTTTCCCTCCTAATAAAGTTCTAAAATTTAATCATGATTTTTCTTTTATTATAATTAAGATATTTGGTGAAGATTATTACAATTAAGATTAACCAATAAAAATATGTCGAATTATATATTTACTATTATATAAACAAGGTCATACTAGTGAATATACTTATATGGTTGCTATAGGCAGATATATATGTATGAAATTAATATAAACGGCTATTATATAAACGGTCGATATTACTAAGAATCACAACGATATAATTAGCATAGGTTATATGACTACAACCATATTAGTGAATGGACTTATATGGTTGCTATAGGCCGATATGTATGAAATTAATATAAACGGCTATTATATAAACGGTTGATATTACTAAGAATCACAATGATATAATTAGCATAGATTATATGACGACAGTCATATTAGTGAATGGACTTGTATGGTTGCTATAGGCCGATATGTATGAAATTAATATAAACGGCTATTATATAAACAGTCGATATTACTAAGAATCACAACGATATAATTAACATAGGTTATATGACTACAACCATATTAGTGAATGGACTTATATGGTTGCCATATGCCGATATATATATGTATATATGTATATATATATGTATATATATATATATATATATATATATATGAAATTAATATAAACGGTTATTATATAAACGGTCGATATTACTAAGAATCACAACGATATAATTAGCATAGGCTATATGACTACAATCATATTAGTGAATGGATTTATATGGTTGCCCTATGCCGATATGTATGCAACTAATATAAACGATCGATATTACTAAGAATCACACCGATATAATTACCATAGGTTATATGACTTCAACCATATTAGTCAATGGACTTATATTGTTGCTATAGGCCCGATACGTATGACAATAATGAATTAAATTATTTAAACGGCTATTATATAAATGGCCGATATTACTAAGAATCACAACGATATAATTACCATAGGTTATATGACTACAACCATATTAGTGAATGGACTTATATGGTTGCTATAGGCCGATATGTATGAAATTAATATAAACGGCTATTATATAAACGATCGATATTACTAAGAATCACAATGATATAATTAGCATAGGTTATATGACTACAACCATATTAGTGAATGGACTTATATGGTTGCTATAGGCCGATATGTATGAAATTAAGATAAACGGCTATTATTTAAACGGTCGATATTACCAAGAATCACAACGATATAATTATCATAGGTTATATGACTACAACCATATTAGTGAATGGACTTATATGGTTGCTATAGGCCGATATGTATGAAATTAAGATAAACGGCTATTATATAAACGATCGATATTACTAAGAATCACAATGATATAATTACCATATGCTATATGACTTCAACCATATTAGTCAATGGACTTATATGGTTTCATAGTCGATACGTATGACCATAATGAATTAAATTATATAAGCGGCTATTATATAAACGGTAGATATTACTAAGAATCACAACGATATAATTACCATAGGTTATATGACTTCAACCATTCGTAAAAATATTTTTCAAGTATTCTTCAATGTATTTTTGTATCTTAAAAATATTCGTAAAAATTTTTATGTTTCTTTTTTTAGCTTTCTGTTCAAAGAATATGCATTATTTTTTGAATATTCGTAAAAATATGTTACAAACATTATTCTTCAATGTATTTTTTATTTTCCATGTTTAATGGCTCCAAATTAGTTTCTAGGTTAGCATTCATGTTTAGGTTACGGGGAAGGGTCGTGAATTATGCGTTTAATGAAGGCTTTCTTAACATAAGTGTATGGTATAAGTTTGTATACCGTATAAAAAATAATATTATGTATAGATAGTAGACTTTTGATCTTCCCATCGTATAAATTGTATTTTAAAAAAAAAACGTAATAGTATAGGTATACATATACGAAAGCTTTTGATCTTCCTATCCGTATAAATTTTATTTAAAAATAAAATATATACGTAATAGTATAGGTATATATATGAAGTTGGTTGATCTTTCCATGAGAAAATGATGATTTATGGGACCAATGTTGTGGGATAATCAATATTTATTAACTAATTTTGGA